GTTGACTAAAGAATCAAGTAGTAGTAGGCAGATGACACAGTTTCTTTCAATGGGAGATTAGATCCTTGTTTTGGCCATTTTAATAGTTACGAGGCAACTAACTTTATCACATCACGGGTATCAACGATATTAGTTTTATCGTATTTTAAGATCTTAAAGACGGTACTTGGTGAAGTAATATATATCCGTATGCATTAGTTACAATGTTTTGAAGCCCCAAAAGGCCAAAAAGGAGATAGTAGCCAAAACTGGGTTACCTGGTCCACATAAGGCGAATGAGACACATTAAAAGGGAAAGACAGGTGAACGTACGACGTGCAACTACGATTTAACCGCAGATATTAACAAAAGTACTTTTGTATGAAATGTCTGATGTGAGTGAAAAAAGAGAGTAAGGTAAGTCAGACTCATGCAAATTATGGGGATGTGGTCTCTATCTACCTCGCTTAGAAAAGGGTAATTAATAAAAAAAGTTGTAAATATATTTTATCTTCTTTGGTATTTTTATGTGTTTAGTAAAAAAATGTGATCTGCTCATATTTTGATACTTCATTTTTTTATGGGACCGATTGATCCTAAAATTACATTATAGAAGAGACAATATCGCTTACCAAGCGCTTCAAGATGCTAGTCGGATGGAGAGATATTGTCTTTCAATGTTCGAGGTTAGATACCCCGCATCTGCCAGCTTCGAGTTAAATACGCATCTCGAGATCTCATACCAGAAAAAGAAATAACGAGAGGAATGTTTTGAAATAAAGGCGTAAAAGAAGTAGAGGGATTAAAAGAAATAAATTAAGAGAAAAGAAGATAACAGAAAGGAAGGCAGAGGCACGTTACAATAAATCATGACATGTTCATAAACAAGTATTTATATGATTCTGTTCATTATCGATACATCAATGAGCGTAATAATTTAAACATATATTTATAACCATATCAATGAGCGTATTTACCCTAGGTCTAATGGCGCCAGATTGAGGGAGGTGGCTCAAGCGACGATGCCTCTATTTCTTGATGTGGGTTTTTCACAAAACCTTTCATAATTAGTTATAAACTTTCTTAAATATTCGTTACCAGCTTCACTCTTTAAATAAAATAAATAAAAATATATATTACTCTTTTATATCTATCGACTACGGCGGTTGCTTATAAATGTATTTTTAATTTGATAATAATGTATATATTTCGTATGTTCGTTGAATGTTAACTAACGTAGATACTAGCTTAAGGATTCATCTTGTGAAATATAGCAATAAATTAAATATTTAATGTGCGGCGTTTGTATCCGGAGTCATAAAAGTATAACCACAGCTTTACATCAATACTTTCCATTGCTATACAACCATAAATTTTTTGGTTTTCAAATTCACTGGGCTGCAAAATCGATGACTTAAAAATAAGCAAAAGGCCAGGGCGCAGTAACGCGAAAGAGACAATTTAAAAGGGAAAGACAGGTGAACGTACGACGTGCAACTACGACTTAACCGCAGATATTAACAAAAGTACTTTTGTATGAAATGTCTGATGTGAGTGAATAATCATATTTATATCTATACTAATATTATAAAAGGTTTTTTGTTTGTTTACATCGAATAGGCTTCGAAACTATCAGACTGATTCTAAAAAATCTAGATGTGGTATCGGCCCCTATAAATACACAGTGGACTATCCGTCCCGGCATTCTTGAGTGATCAAGCGATCTGAAAGCAAGAGGGATCGGAAGCGAAACTCGAAGCGACAATAAGTGAAGTTAAGTGTGTATTGTTAACGAGTTATTTTGTGATTTTGTTAATTAATTAAGTCGGATAGTGAACTTAATTGGTGTTGATTTTTATTCCGAATCCTAGCACTGTTACACTCAAAAATTTAATATTCTATAGCAATAGAATATTAAATTCGTAAGTATTGCTCATAATAAAGGAATAATATCATAAAGGTACTATCACCTAATTGTTTTGGACGTTGCATGGTTAAAAACCTAATTGGAATAACTTGAAATTCCAACTCTCTTCTTCAACTTATACTCAAAGGTCGAAAACCGTAGAAAACTTATTAAGCGACAGAACTTTATAATCGCCGGTGGGTCTAGGTACAATAATATTGTCATTGTCATTTATAAACATTAATTATACCATTTTTTTGATAGTTACCATATCGTGTAGGGATGTAGGTATTGTCAGATGTATTACAAACATGCGTAATTGACTTCTTTCACTATATACATATAAATAAATATTAGACCATATTACATACATTACTCAGATTCCAAGATGAGTAAGCTAAATCTCTTGTATTATGGAGTATCTGAGATAACCAAACTACCATAATACCTAGACCAGGGACAATATAGAAAAGTTCATTTTCTTCATCGAGCCGACCGGGAAAAGAACCCGGGACCTCAGAGATGGCAACACCTTGAAACCGACGTGCATACGGTTATGGTGGTCGTAACTCCAAAATATGCCTAGAGAAGAGATTGCTGTTTAGCAATAAGGTCACTTTTTGCTTACTTCTCTTTTTAATGGCTTTTTTTATTTATTGTAAACTGTATTATTATGACTGCAATATAGCGATTATTAAACTTAGTTTGGAAACATTCAATCTCTATCCTTCCTCAGAAATCCACACTGAGCCCGTGTAGTAAGTGTGGATTATTCTCCCTTTTTAATCCATCCATAAAGACATCCTTGCATGTCGCATAGAATCGCCTTTTACTAGAGTAAGCAGAGAGTTTGCGTTGCTTAGAAAGACTGTCTAACTATCACACACAGTTCATGACAAACAGCCTGGTCACAGACGGACAGACAAAGAATCGGATGGCAGATGGGCAGCGGAGTCTTCTTAGTGATAGGGGTTTTTACCCTTTGGGTATAGAAACCTAAAACAACCTTAATCAATGTCTCGAAGCTACGAAGCTTTAATATGTGGTCTCTAACTAATTTTTGTTTTCTTTTACTTAAACTTTTACCTACACAGCTGTCATTGAATGGAAAGGGGTAATCTAAATTTGTAAATAAGTTTGAGACTCCTATAGTTACTCGTAGTTATATGGATCACCAAAAGTTTCCTTTAGAGTTTCTTAAAATTGTATGTAGATTATCTATCCTATTTATAGTTTATTATTTCGTATATCAAGCTGCCTATCAATGTAAAGTATAGGTATCGGTAAAAAGCAAATGTTAAAATATTTCCAGGCTACACCGGCTCCAGATATCAACAAGCTCAATTATTTACAGTGCACCGCACTAAAATTCTAGATTGTCCATAAAGTTTCTCATAAACCGGATATACTCTTATAAAATTCTCGGAACGTTGCGGTTAGTATGATAAATTCAGTTATTGTCAACAATGCCCTCATCAAACGAATAAAGTCAAACTAATTATTGTAAGTTTCATTCAAGATTGCTAAGTAAATATTTTTTGCTCATCCATTTTTTCTTTTTTTTAGAGTTTATAAGGCTGTTATGTAGTGGTGTCGATCTTTCACTATTGGGATTACCGTTTTCTCTACGATATTTTTTGAGAATTTTCTTATATCAATATAGTTGAACAAAATATTAGTTACTTTTTTCATTAATTTTCATTTAAACAGTATACTAAAATGCAATAAACACCACTCATTACTGTTAACGAAGTATTGACCGGATTTTTTCTATTTTATGTATAGACAAACTAAGTAATATAACTATTTTTATTGTAATAATAGAGCTTTAGGATAAGGTTCAACTTGATTTTTAATAAAAATTTGGGTCTTCTTTTTGATTAATCTATGGCTATTGCTATCGCGGTGGTGTTCAAAGTGCATCTGATAACGACAAGCGAAAGTAAAATGAAATTGTTAATTATATTGATTCTAGATGTTTCCAGGGTTATGGTATGATCAGTAGCTTGGCTTGGAAAACTAAAAATTGCCAATTAGATTACAAGTTAAAAACAAAATCATTAATTAATTTCAAACTAATTATTGGTCATTGGTTATCACTTTATAATAACTGGTAATTATTATGAACTGCTGACTAATCAATTTGTCCGCAACATATTAAATTTCGTTCGTTTGTGTGAACTTTACACTTTTATGATATAGTCGTGTTGATATAAAATTTTATATTGTATCAGCTGCAGATTCAATTTTCGAAAGATGCTGCCAGCTATGGTTTTAATTTTAAAATTTTTAGACTCTGTTTTTTATGAGGGCATTGATCAGATAGATCTTAATATAAAATATTAAGTATTGTAAGAGATATTGGGAATATTATTTAAACAAAAATATTATACAAACAATTTATTTCTCTCTTTTTGCTGCATTAACATTTAGGTAGACATCAACAATTTGTTATTAATATATATAGAAGAAAAAGTACTGTATTGTGCGATTTCAAATAATGTTAAGAAAAGTTCTTGAGACAGTCTTATGTTATTATTATACACGAAATAATTAAAACCAATGCAATTATTTAAAGTCTATATTATTCGGAAGATAGAACATTTTTTTTTCTTATTTTAAGAAGTAATTTTAATACAATCTGTTGAAAATAATGTTTATTTCAATGAAGATAGAGTTTCGAAAAACCCATATCAACGTATTGTTTGCATTAATTTTGAAGCTATTACAAAAAATACAAAATCACTACTCAATTATGATTGTTTGGTGATGATTTGCATGTAGCCAATATCATTTTAAAATTTTCTTCTAGAATATAATATATGATTCATCACGTTCAACTTAGGTTTATAATACTTGGCACACTTCTCGTGATATAACAATCTGTCTAAATTGCATAATAAATATTGAAACTAATATTGAAGTATACAAAAATTAGACCCGAAACTACTGGTCCACATACACTTATTATCTAATGTTCTTCTATCTAGCCATCGAACGACTACGTATTTCGCTTGACTGCCATAACACACTTTTGATTACAATGATATCTTTGTTCCGGAGACAGTTCTAAATGAACAACGTTCACTGCCTTGTCAAAAGTCACCTTCGGAAGTCATCGCGTCAATGTCACTTCCGTATCACTAGAACTTCTTGAACTTTCTTTGATCACATCCAATTCTCTATTGGACAATGACGAATTACGTGAAAACTTATGCGTAACACTATATTCACTTTTTTCTTCACAACTTTCACGAACACTGCCATTATAGTCTTTATGTTCATCAGAGTTATCATCGACTTCATTTACTTCAACTTCCAACAAATTGTCGTTATCTTTTAAACCATACGTGTTGAAGTTTCTTTCATGGCTAAGACTTCGAATTCTATCAAGATTATGTTCTAAAGTTTGCATTTCATCATCCACACCAGGTGAATCATCAAATTTCCATTTGATATTTGAATTAAAATGTTCTACTCCTGGGTACATACCTATACTGTTGCTTCTATGCCCGAAAACCGGACAATTTCGGAATTCTCACAACTCTGGATGTCTTCCGTTACAAGTTTTATTGAAATTACCTTCATCTAAACTTAGATTAGAACGTGAGCGTCCACATTCAAAACCTGGGCTAGGTCTAAATAAGCAAAAGTCTGAGTTTTTCAGTCTACATTGTCTTGAACACGATTCTATTTGAAAGGCAGAACGATCAAGGTGCCTATAGTCCGTGGGGCCAAAGCCATCGAAAAATCTCGATTCTTGCTTACATGTACCACTCGGACAACCTTTGAAAGATCCTGTACATCGAAGAGGATCTCTGTGACAAGCTTTTTGTATAGCATGTAAGGACGTGGATGAGACTGTGCGTTCTAGAATTTCACCCCAATATTTTTCACCAAGTCCTTCGAATTCCCCTTTGGAGTGCATACCATCTGACGTAACAGGTGATCCACAGCAACCGGTCGGTTTTTCAAAACTATGAAATGATTTTGGTTTTCGGCAACATATCTGTAACAAAAGTAACTATTGAAAAATATATATATCAACTTTTATATTATTACATAGGATGGAACGCATTTTATTATTACTTTCTTATAGTAGTATTAGTAAGTTAATACCCTATATAACAATAGTAACAATATAGATAATATTGTTGCACTAATATATAAGATAATTTTATTAAATCATGTTAAATTTACATTTATAATAATTAAATCTGTCAAAAGTTGGTATGTGTATATATTAGTAAATATTTTATAAATAAACTAAACTACTACGTAAATGACATACAATGAGTAAGGTTATACGTACATAGTACTGTATTAGTTCATTACTTATTCTTCTGAAGTGGCTGTTTAGAAGCCAATACAGGAATGGATTCCAGAAACTATTGCTCAATGCCAACCACGTCACTATGAAATCCAATGAAGGCGGTACCTGTAGGCAAGTTTAGCAATAAAGTATTATATAACATCACCTATATTTACATTTTCAGATTACAATCACGACGATTTTTGAAAGATATTGAATGAACGGTAACGGTAAATATAAACTTTTAAACTTTGGCGTTGCATTATAATGCAAAATCTAATATATTAGATTGTTTGAAACGTTAGGTTTTTCATCTGCCTATATTTCCCGACGTTTATTTAAAACGCTTATTTGACGTTAATCGGAATCATCTAAGCAAAATGAAAGGAAAGATATTGGGAAATATCAAAGTAAATAAATTGTCTATAACATTTATATCATTCAAATCATCATTCGTTCTAAAAACGATTGTGACTTTCAAAGTATACACAATTTCATAAATCATTTGAAAGAGATTATTATAGATTTAAAATTAGACAATTAGGCAACTGATCACCTTAGCGGTCTCTTATCATTTAAATTTACTGCCATTTTACCAGTGGTGAAATTCTTGCCAAACATAGCTTGATTAAAATTTCGTTTTTTATTTGAATCTGATCAATCTTAGAGAATTAGAATATGTGAATGTAACATTAAGCTAAAGGCTTGCGTCCTACAAGTGAAAATTCCGGACTCTGTTCGGATAATATGAGCCATTTTAACTTATGAATAATAAATTTTATGGCACTAATTTGCAAAATATTGTGCTTTGAAAACTTGAAAAAAGTAGGGAATATATATATATACTACTAAAATTTGCTACAATACATACGACATCAAATTAGTTACATAAAACGTTACAACTTTCATTATAACAGCTATAAACAAACGCACAAATAACAAAGATATTACAAAGATTGCCCAAACGCTCATACGTTTTTCGCTACCGTAGCACCATGTGACGTCAGTTAGTACATTGAATTTGTAGGGAGCGCTTTCGGCCGACTAGCAGCAGTTCCACAAACACAGCGCCGTATCTCCGAAACTATTAATCGTAGACATGCTGTTACTTCTACATTATTTCTCAGATGTTGATTGACTATTTATTTATAAAATAAAAAAGTTACAGCCAATTGGAAACAAGAAATCATTGAACTAGTTGTAATCAAAGATATCACAATAATACGTTATCATTATCACCAGTACATTAATGTGTTCACTGCTGGGGCACAAGTCTTCCCTTATAAATGAAATCAAATTGGAAAAGTAAAGTGTGGTACTCGATACTTTTTGGGTCGCAATGTGATCACCTATAGAGCTTTCCAATATCTTCACAAGTAAATAAAGTCAAATTTTAATGATTGACGATATAATAGATCGTACATACTAGTGTTTTTAATACCTTACATCCTGTACAAGCCGCTACCACCTCTTGTATTGTTGCAGGTGTGACCATGACAATGAAACCAAGTGACATCGCAGCCATTGTGCGGGAAGTGCTTACACTGTGAGGCCTCACCGGGGCTTGGATCTGTTGCTACAAATAAAACAAATCTTCAGTAGTCATTTCCTCCATTTTGATAAATAAGTTTGAGAGTGATAGTCGGCGGAGTTGAAACGTAATTAATCATACTACAGATACAGAATAATGGATGATCATAATAATACCGACTATTATTGAGATGGTTTATTATCGTTAAATAACAAATGACAAAAATCTATGAAGTGATTTTAACTAAACTGTATATACATGCGGTCAGTAGAAATCGTAAGATTATTACAATGACGTATAAAAAAAAATATTACAATAAGAAACGAAAACCAATATCCAAAACTATTTAAAATCTATCATCAGTAGATAATACAAAGGTATATGTATAATCTTACCACGATATCATGTTCTCCGTGCGAGGTTTTTGCACAGGCTACAGGCACGCCATTTGGTCTCGTCGGTTCCAAATCACATTTATTTCTGTTTTTGCTCACGTGAAATCCTGAGCCGTAGCAATACATAAGAGCCATGGTAGTTGGAAAATAATAAGCACAGCACGAAAGGATCCTAAAATAAAACAAGATATTCTATTAAAATAAAATCACTACAATATTTTTTAGTAATAAACATGTAATGTTCATGAGTACCAAGGATTTATCAAACGATATGTTAGATATTATTGAAACAGTGTTATTTAAAGATGTAGACAGCTTTCTTATTATGGATGTAACTAATTGTTTATTGCCTTAATTACCTGAATGCAACTCTGCTATGGAAAACGTCACATGCCATCAAGCCAGTAGAATTGAAATAGTATCCAGACCTCGGCAACACCATTATTGCGAATAGCGATACAGATAAAATCCAAGTGATGCTTATCACAAGCACGCAACCCTGAAATGAAAACCATCATGAATACCAAGTTAAATGTCTCTTTATTATTTCACCTAATTCAGATTCAAAATCAGTAATTCAGTCTAAACGACACAAGTTACAATCACTTGTAAAAGTTGAAACTCTATGCCATTAGTTCGCAAATGTACGGCGTGAGACCTTGTTTTGAAGAGAAACACAGTAAGAGCAAATTTTTTGACTTGAAGTCCTGAACATATCGCAGATTTATGTTTTCGTCAGAGCTCTCTTTAATGAATAAATAGTTTACAATGTAAAGTTCGGCCTTCCATACTGTTATAATTTCTAAGACATATTTCTGAATAAACCTTTTACTCATGATGTCTAAGATGCCTAATTCAACAATAAGCTGGCACAGCTTTTGTCTAAGTCAGAATTGAAACTGAGTACCAAACTTCACAAGCGGCTCAAAGAGATTTTCCCAGAAAGGTGTTATTAAGTACGCAAAGCCTTCTTTGAACGCAACCTCGGATTACTGAATTCTAAAGTCGCAGAAGTGTGAATAAAACTTTGACATTAACTATTTATATAGTCTTAAGAAAATTTTACAAACATTCTATGCTTCTTTAATACTAGTTGCCTTACCTTTTTACTTGAGTGTTTGTGATAAGTATTCGGATGTAGTAAATACAAATATCTGTCTATAGCCATACAGACTAATATCACTGCACTTTGTTGACTCACTGCTCCTCGTAGTAGTGCCTGTAGATAAAATTAGTTTCTGATAACAGTCAGGTCCATAATTAATGTATCTCAAATGATTAATCATATTCTTATTACTATTGTTTTGTGTCTGCCTAAATATTTGCTTTGTAAACTTTATCTTATTCAGTAGTATATAATACTACGAAAAAGTAACTTTGAAATTCCGCAACGTCACAAATAATAGGAAATTGTCACATTGTTTCGAGAAATATGAATGACCTTGGTCTGCAGAATAACAAAGGGGGAGAACCTAAAATTGAAACGCTAGTCAGCAAACGCGCGGCAGATGGCACAAGCAACAATGCTGAAAATTTAAGAGGCGAGGACTTTATGCCCGGTCACTAAATTCCATTAGCTGATGGGCATTAAGCTGCATAGCCACGAAGTTTTTAGTGATTTTATTGTTCACGGATCGCCTCGTCAGCGGATCGTCAACAATTACTGTTTTAAATCCCATATTGTTCCTCGCTTCAAAAGATCCCATACAATAGGAGCCTTTTTCATAATTTCGAATTTTATCAGAAGCCTCTTCTAATTTCGAAACTTTCTAAATTGTATTTTATGCTAGAGTTGCTATATCATATTTTTTATAAGTGAACACTTTAGACGATAATGAGTGACCGTAGCGAGTTTATTCATGATATCCGATTACCTTTTAACTTTGTATCTCCAATTGAAACTTTTTTCCCGTGAAACAACTTTACTCATTTTCTCGCCGTCTCTTGCTTAAATAAAGTTTTGCAGCGACTTCGTCACTTCGCCTACATCTAACCGGATTAAACAACTCTCGAGAAATTTTCGATGAAAAATTAATTTTGCTATTTTCATCACTTTTCACGGTTATTGTATTATCGCTAGCTTTGTTTGCCTTTGGATCTATTCTAATATTGATGACAACGGAGTCATTAATGTGAAACGAAAATTTTAGGCTGTAATTTAAATTTATTAAACTTAACCAGAACTATTGCCAGATAAACAAATTTATGTAAGTGTTTTTATAAGGTAAATGAATCATTTTTTCATATGTAGCAAGCACATAGTTTTTCAGCAATTAGTTATTTCCTTCACAACGATAATCTTCGTAGTGAAGAAGTTACGGGTTTTTAGAAATTCAAATCACAGCCTGTATGGAAGTAGTTCTCTCACTACTGTATCTAAAAAAAGTTTGTTTACAAATGAAATAGGAATTTTTGATATAGTAATTTAAATGTTTTAAAAATTATACCTAAACAAAATTTTTAGATTGACTAATAAATTGAGCTCTGACTACATTAATATAGTATCGCATAAAAACTTGTTAAAATAAACCACGATGGTAATAAAATTCTTTTTAATACTTCTTTTCGAAGCTCACCTGTATCTGACAGAATATCTCGCCGTAGGGCCAACACTTGTAGAGAGCTGGGAGAAGCGCCACTGGCGCTATCAAGATTCCAGTGAATAAGTCGTTGAGAGCGAGCGACGTGAGAAGATACCTCGGCTGCAAGAAATAAAGTCGAAAATTAGAATACCAGAAGTTGTTAAAAGGAAACTGACTACAACACTTGAAATCGTTTCAAATAACTGTTAAATAAATAACTGTTAACAGTATCACCGTTATTAATATTTTGTAGATAAATAAGTTTGCACACAAAATAAGGAGATTGAAATAAAAATATTAATATATTGTACACGTTTTGGAATGGACTGACACTAAATTTCAAATGGAGTAAGTAGCATTTTACACGATCAAAGTCATTGAAGCAGTGCTCTGTAGTTGACTTCTTGCTTTTAAAGTCAGCCAGCTGATAGTGACTGGTGCCTTACAAAAAACCGTGAAATCATAGTTGCTGCAAGGGAGCAGAGAAGAGACAATAATGAAATAATACCTTTGCATATAACGCCGAAACGCTTCAATGCAGTGATACCTTTAAACTTGGATGTGATTTGATGACATTACGAATGCTATTATTATCCAAGTGCTATAGAGATACAAAAACATCAAAAGACATGGAATAACATTGGAATTGTGTCTCACACAAACGTAGATCTAGATGATCTACGTTTGTGTGAGACACAATTCCAATGTCATTCCATTATCACACGCTGACACACTTACATAATCTATTAAATTAATTAACGTGGACGTATAGTGGAGCTCTGAATAAATTAACTAGATAATTATATAATATTACCTGGTTATCGATATATTTGATGTACCTCCTATTATTCAGCACACAGATCAGAACTAGATTGCCAAACACTATCGCCATAGACAGTGCGAATATGAAGAAAGCTTTGAGTATATCCGAAGGTGCTGGAAATGTTGAAGGCCACCCTTTGCCGTTGATCCAACAGGAGCTGTTAGAGAGTGATGGCGCAACGAGCAGTGCGCCCTTGGTCGAATCGAACATACTCGGCGCCTGCGACAGCGCGCGGATCTTTTGAATAAGGCATTTAGATCATAGATCTTACAGCTGTTTAGCTTCAGACTTCTTCTTACTCTTTAACTGGTGCGTACAATCTTTTGTCAACTGTTATACATCTCGAATTTTTGACATTTGAGGTGTCGTTTCTTCTAACTATCTTGAACATCAGCTAAAAATCATGGTTTTTATCTGAAACAAGAAACAATAATTAAGAATTTGAAAGATTTTGACGGATTGATTTGGACGGATGGATTAATTACTTTTTTTTTTGAGATTTTATGTCTATTATTGGTTGATATCGACATATCGTCATCAGTGATAGGATATATCTAAGTGCAGTTAAATTAAGATTAAATGACGTTTTTAAAGTTTACTAAATATGTGATACAGCCATTATTTGAACATATACAATAGGGTGGTTCATAAAAATTAAGTTATATTTGTTTTTACTCTCAACCCATAATCTGATTCTATCTACCAAAATAATCATTTGTTTTAAATTAATATTGTACCCACAAATTAAATAAAAAAAGCCATTGCTCTTTTGTACTATTATCCATTGACGCCATCGTTGCAAGTTAAAGTAATCGTGTTTGGTCGTAAATGTGATTACTTTAGCTTTATGCTCATTTTTTTGTTCAATGGTGTATAATAAAGAATTGTTCATTTCATTCAAAGTCACCGTGAAAGAAATGTCATGCCATCTTTGATATCTTTCCGAAGAACTATATGCTTTTGATTTTGTATCAAAATAGTTTCTATCGAAACAATAATTTTGGCTGTGAAAACTATAGGAACGGAAAACAATTCGTAAAAGGCATTCTTTAAATATGATGCAAATAATAAAAGAGAGTCTCATAAAAAGAGAATAATAAAAGGTTTCTCGACAATAAACAATTTTTATAATGTTTTCGGAAAAACTTTGAGTTATGCGTATGCGAAGAATATTTCAAATCGGTTAAAGAAATTGTTCAACTTAATTTAACTACTACCGTATAAAAAGTTTGTGGTGACATAAAAATTGTTTTCAATTATAATTCAAAACAGGATATAAAAAAAAGAAGTATTTCTATTTATAGTCGACAATCGACTGAGTTCATGGTATATTGACTTCCGCCGTACGTCTATAATTGGCATAAAATATTCTTGTAGCGTCGGAAAAGAAAGCAAGGGAGGGCAAACGGAAATGATCCTAAGCCATGGATACTGAATCAATTTCACTTTCTTCGCTGTCAGGATTAGCTTGACAAATGACCATGTCCTCAGTCAGACATCGTTTATAAATATCTGGTATTTTTGTGAGCTTTCAAAGCTGGAATGCTCAGAAACGCCTCCCATGAGTCAGCACTCTTAGGTGATTGATTAAGTGCAAATGATACTTTATAAAGTTTAGGTTCATTTGCAAATAGTAGGAAGAAAATAAATGATATTAGACTCCTAAGGGTTTGATTGGATTATATATTATTTCAGTTTTCTAAAGATTTTCATGACAATTTTACCCTAAGCACATTTGAAAGCAATTCACACAAAAACTATTAAGATGATTTGTGTTACTATTAATATACTCTGTTATTATATAGAATTCAATCCTTATTAAACATTATCATATTCGTTAGGCACTGGATAGCACAGGAGGTTCATCGTTCTATCTAAGATAATGTAACAACATTGGATGAATGACCAAAATTTATTATCCGTTTTCCTCTATAATTCTTCTGGCTGGATTTACAACCAGTCCGCACTGGGCTTGTTCTTTCTGTTTGATTCCTTCATTAGAAAAGCCTATGCCCAGCAGTGGGCGCATTAACAGGTTGATAATGAAATTGTTTTCTATCGTTATTATTGACGTCATTAAGTTTGTTAATTATAATATTATATATTATATCGATCTTGATGCCCATGTCGATCTAAAATTTAATTACCAAACAAGTTATCTGAGGTTGTCGAGTCTTTGTTCGTTGTTAGAATAACCCTAATGAGCACAATGTTATTAGAATTTAATCCCAAATTAATAACAGTAGTGTTGATAAATGAATTAATAAATTTTTATCAAACGAATTTTGATGTGGTTTAATAATATTATAAAGGTCAACTTATTTTATAAATGATTATCGAAGTAAAGTTTATTTATTACCCAATAAGCTATCACACTTAGGCGATTTGAACTCAAACGATCGAAATTGCGCAGAACTTCGTATAGAAAAGCTATTTCCTTAAGGAAATTGACAAGGCCTCCGATTTGAGGATTGTGATCGAGAAATATCAAGTAAAGAATTCTAGGGCATGTAGCACGTACGCCTTCCCTGTTTTACTCTTTTTGTTTTATGGCAGTCGTGAGAGAATTCTCTTGTGTTAAATCTTTAAATTCCAAGTGCATTTTCCCATTTATATTATGTAGTAAGACGAATCTGTAGAAATGCTTTATCGGTTGGATAAAATAACCCTAGCTTTTTAATATTGGTTATTTAAATTTGGAACTTTTGATTTATTGTTTCAATAAAGCAGTTATATAACATGCAAAACATTGTGTAGTATGATGGGTGCGCAACATATTACTAAAATATGTTTGAGAAGATTACAACATATTAATTCTCACACATTTCATCAAATGAGTTCATCAAATGATTTTGTTTGTTGGGTTGAGGTGGGTATCAAAGTGGATTTTTAAGCATTTTTCATTAAGATTTTTTTCCATTATAGTACTGTGAATGCAAATTTAATCAAATATAATGAATTATATATACAAATAAGTTAAATAAAATCGTTTAATGCAGTTGTAAGCTATAACATCACTAAAAACTATGATTCTTTCTTTCTCAACTATGATTTTTTTCTATTTATTGAGGAATAAATTTTGTTACAATTTGTAAAACAAATCTTAGTTATCGTGTTATGAAATATTATCGAAATTTAAAACCATGTATTTAACAAAAAACAAATGATAAAAAAATCATTTTTTTTGACATATTTTAAATGATTCAACATGTTGAACGGGGATTTGCGTCACGCAAACTTTGAGTACAAACCACAATGGTGGTATGAACCTTAAAGTAACTACATGAGATAGCGCAATATCATTTATATAATGTTAATTAAAACAAGAATTAATCTTTCTCTCAATGATACCCGTTTCATAACGTAACTATCTTATTTCAGAGGCATACTATTGTCACGCTCCCAAAAAGGTTTTCTATTGTTCCTCCTCCTTGTTTGTACAGGATAATATCACAATATTATATATACAGGAAAATAGTGATAACATTAGTGCCTTAATATTACAGCTTCATACTTCACACTCAGGTTGTCCATATAATGACAGTGGGTTAAGTGTTGAAGCGTCAACGGATCGGAAATGACTGACTGTTCCTTTTGACGTTCACGCATAAGAAATGGCTTTTTGCCCTTTCACATTTTATCGTGCGGTTAGATCGCGCAATTTTCCTTGTTCCGTAGCTAACACGCTTTGTAAAAAATCATGAGAAGTGTTTCAGTATTGAAGCGATTTGGGTTTGCTTTAAAGAAACGTTTTTGTTACAAACACTGACTGTTTTAAATTTCATACTTCTTACACGTCTGTCCACATTTGTAAAGAGGAGTCCAAAGTTTTTTTCTGTGTCTGAAATAATGTTTTACCCTTTGAATTGGTTATTGCAATATCCTTTACGGAAGTAGATGTTACTGTAAAAACATTCTGATCAATACCTACTTTTGTTAAGATGGTTGACATGCGGCATATTTTAAATAAGCCTCCCGGCTAGGTAGCTCACTTGCCTTGACTTTGTACCGTATATGCACAATAACATCTTGTTTTTCTTGTTTAGTCAGTTTTGCGATGTCGATGTCGAGTGCAGCGCTGTCACGGCATAGACTCGCGTTTAGCATTGCGAGATTTGTATAATTTTTTTTGTTTAGTCAGTTATGCGATGTCGATGTCGAGTTTAGCGCTGTCACGGCATAGAGTAGCGTTTAGCATTGCGAGATTTGTATAATTTGTATATGTTATGTTTTTAATGTTTATTTTTTTAGGTACGTACTTCTCTTATTTTGTTTTTGGTTATTATATTTTTCTCAAAGATCACTCTATGTCTCTGTCGACTTTACACTTTAAAAAGATGTTGATGGATCGGTGAATGCATCTAGAATAAGTCTATTTATTATATTCAGAATACAAGCAAAGTTGTATAAGAATACTATAGTTCATTTTTGTTTACTGAAAATTCCTTTCGGTTAGCCCTCAAATAACATCACGACCCCAGAGTTAATTAAGAACTTTTTTAATTAATAACATAGCTACCTTCAAACATTACTTATTGGACATACACGATAATTTTATCATATGGAAACGTTTGTATTAATTAAATTACTAATATAAAATATTTGAATTATTTAATTAATTGTTTATTTGATCTTGACTACAATCGGATCAAAATTTGGGCGTCTTCTATGAGAAGAATTGGCGAAAAAAACTCCGACGAGAAAGTGATTACTCCATATAATTTTAATGTTTACAGAAAGAACTAAGTGATATTTAGGTTTTCAAATGGGGTTTAAAATCTGGGTTGAGATTGAGGAGAGAAAAAAAGAAAATGTAAGGGGGCGTCCATAAATTACGTGAGATGTTTAAGGGGGGGAGGGAGTCGAGTCAAATCTCATCTAATCTCACGTTGGAGAGAGGGGGGGGGTCTCGGCAAATATCACGCAATTTTTAAAATAAGGCTCGATGCGGGGAATCCCTCATAGAGTGACAAGTCTAAGGTTAAGATCATTCACTAATTCGTTGGAAAGAAAATAATTTCATTCGTACTTTGACATTATACATCACTCCTGATTGTCAAACCACTATACTCGTTTTATACCAAATAGCTCAATTTAATTTGAATTTACGGTACAATGTAGCCCGTCCTTTGTTTTCGCGCCACTGTCAGCTGAACGTGTGACTCGATGAATGAGAGCAATATGGATTACTAGTCTCTAACTAGTCGTAA